CAGTTAAGAAAATGGATGGATTGACTTTGTCAGTGTAACGAGCTGTCCCAGGTGTCTCTGTGCTGCTGATGCAGTGGGTGTCATTGATGCAGGCTCTGGACGCGTGGGTTTCCCTCATACAATCCACTGAGAGACTTCTCTGGTTAACTGGTGATTCTAATTTGAAGTGTTTCTTTGTCTTTGTGTGATAGACTCCCAACCTCTGCAGCTTGCCTAATGACATTCAAACTACTACTTTAAGTTGCTCCCATATTCACCAAGAGTCACCAGAGCAGTTAAGTCTGCATTTTTGATTTGGCAGGTTTTTGCACCAGACACCTCGCAGGACCAAATCGGGGCATTTTCACTCATTAGGTGAATGTGTGACTGTGCAAACCACTACACTGCAAAACCACAACAGAAAAGATCCTTGAGGTAACTTAGAAACCACAATTTCTCCAGCATTGCAGCTCTGATGGTCTGCAGCACATGCAGGCAGTCCAACCACCCTTAAGCCCAATTTTTCTCAGTAATGAAACAAAGCGTTGCAGTGGTACTGACACAGTGCCTTTTTACTCAATTCGAGCACGCAAAGTGCTTCCTGCTACAAGTCACATTCACCCAATCACCCAAACATTCATACACCACTTTTCTCTTTGTGTGAGCACTTCTGGTAACATTCACTCCTTGATGGATGCTTTAGGGGAAATTTGGGACTTCTGCCCAAAAGATACTTCAGTGTGTGAGCCACGGATCGATTCGCTGAATTTCTGATAACTCTGTAAATAACCAGCGCTCTACTGGTATCTGGTCTCTAAAGGATTATAGTTAATAAAACTGTCCAAAACTTTCATAAAAACATTTTGTTGTCCTTATAAACTGCTCTTCACATATTTCATTTTTTAATCCTTCAGTATTTCTTTGTGTGTGTCCGTGTGTGTGTGTGTGCCATAGTCTCCAACCTATTTACTTACCCTCTTTCTACCCTTTAATTAGTCTGTCAGAGCACTTTAAACTAACCGTGTGCAATGTACAAACCTCAGTTTCACATTGTCAGATTTTGGTAACTTCCAGGACCGTAAAAAAGATTTGCTTTGTCTGATAAACTACAAATTCCTTTAAATTTGTGCTAAAGCTGCCTTCCAGTGCTGCTGACTCCGTTCACCAACGGTCACAGTTGAAATATCAGAGAGCTGCTGCTGGTGAGCTGTCACCACCTTCACAATCAGCCTCTGTTTGACCAGCTTATGTCTGCCTGACCCAAGACCTCACCTCTCCTTCAGCTGCACTCTGCGAGGATGTAGGCGTGTGTGACTGCGCGGAGGTAAGAAATTAACTTCCCTCTCCCCGAAGGCATGATATGCCCTTGTGATGTGATTTCTCGGAATCAGTTTTAATGAAACAATGAACAGAAACACTCGTTTCCTCAGACTGGGTTGATATCGGCGGTTTAATCTTTAATCGGGTTGATGTCTCTTTCTTCTTTTCTTCTTTCTTTTCTTGCCGTGAAATAACCTTCCGAGCGCTTCCCGTGTTGTTTACATCAATAAAGCCGGGTTGCTGAAGCAGCAGTGAAAGTTGTCGGCTAGTGGATTTGTTGTGACTGTGTCACCGCTTGTGTACAGCCTGACTGGTCTGGCAACATTGTGGCATGTCACAGTGATGCGAGCCGTGGTGTGGACTGCGGCTAAACCTGTTGGTTCGGAAAAAAAGGGAAAGCGCGAAAGGGGGAGCAGTGAGAGGAAGTGGCTAATGGGGAAGATGAAATCCAACTTCCTCTACACTAAACAGCCTCCAGAGGAGAAAAGGAGGCCTTGTTCACCTCTGACAGGGGACGTTTCTCCCTCTGTGTGCGGTTTTGCTGCCAGCCTCTTTTATTTTTCTTCTTAATTCTGCTTAACCTCGTATAAAGTGTATAAACAACCAAAAAAAGTAAACATTTGACAGCAACATAGCAAAAAAGTAATTTACACCATGATCTGGGTGTGAGGAAGGAAAGCCCTCATGGTGGGAGGAGAAGACCCAAATGGAGGAGAAAAAAAACACATCTCTTGCTGTCTGTGGCAAACCCTGCTTATTCATACTCACAATGGACAGCCAGATAATATTCTCCTCCACTGTTGAAGATGACACCTGGAAGATTTGCTTTCACACAGCCCCTAAGGCTGGAGAACCCCACCCCAAACCTAAGCTAGCAAGTCCCTGCACAACATCCTCCAGGGTGGGGGAATCTGAGCAATGTGTGGCTTTTGTCAACCCACCCCCTACACACGCTTTTCTTTCTTTTACTGTCTGCCCCCCTTCTCAAAGCATAATCACATCCTTCTCTCTTGAGAGATATTTCCCTCTTTTCACAAAAGACTGAAAAGATTATCTCTCTTTTCTTGGTATGGGGAGGTGGAGGGGGTGCGCAACAGGCCTGCTGGAGGCTTTTCTCACAATGATAATATTTCTCTCAAGAAATTCATGACACCTGTTGAGATAATCTCCAACAGGAAAATGGACCATAGTGCCTGATAGTGGATAAAAATAGATCCTCCTCTCTCTCTCCTACCCAAACACAGTGGCTGGATTACTCTAATGTGATGAAATGAACAAAAACACACAAACAGCAGGTTTTTTCCTGTTTTTTTTATTCACACTCTTATTAATAATTTGGTGTTATCGAGACAACTTGTCTGCATATCCATCGTGTGATGACTGCAGTTGCAGAACATTTACATATTAGTTGAATTTAGTCAAATAACGAGTGGCGGTGAACAGCTTCACTGTGACCAGTGTCAACGACAGAAGAGATAAACATCTAATGCAGCACAGTGAACCACATGATGGTGCGTACAGGCCGTGCTGCTGCAGTGTTTGCATAGCACTGCGTGGTTAAAATATGTATGATAAATGTAAAAGTGCAGCAAACCTTTGAGGTGAGATTGTTACGATGACACGTCAGGATGTTAAATTTTACTCCTGGTATCATGTGCGTTCCAGTGTTAGTGGACGCTGGTGGCACACTAACAAATTCCTCCACACATCATACCAGTGTTCACTGTGGAGCACGGCCGGTTCCTCCTCCAAAGAGGCCCCCTAGTGTTTTTCTGAGGGAGCTCATTTCTTTTACTGTGGAGATTTTGGGACTCTTTCTGTACCAACTGTTTGCTTGTGTAGCAAGCAAACGTCCACCTGTAATCCCAGTGAAAGACACAGAGAAGAGACAACACCAGTGATGAAACACTTCATAATAATTACAGCAAAATGAAAATATCACAGCTTACCCCTTTATTCTAGTGTAAGTATTTGAGTTTTTATTTTTTGAGTATTTAAGGTAAATATAATTACATTGTTATTTCAAATAAAGTGCGTTGAAATTCCATTTAATTACAGGTGAATTACGCCCTTAGTGATGGACCTTATTATGAAGTGTTACCTGACCTGACATATATAAAATAGCACCATCAGCACCACCAGCTGAAAACCTGGCATATCTCTGTATGGTGTGGAGTGTGGCCTCAACAAATTAGAGGAACCCGGATAAGTGGAGGGCAAAGAAGAAGTGGCAGACCTAAAAAATCTACAGGAGATGAGCAGTATCTGAAAGTCGTGTTCTTAAAAAACAGGAAGAAAATCCAGCAGATAGATCTGGACCTTCAGTTGATCCATCTGTTTACTGAAGGCTCATCAGAAATGGTCTCAGGGGAAGGAAGTATGGCTGAAAATCAGTGGTAACAGAGTTACAGACTGCTGAAATGTTTGATTGAAATCATTGTGACTGTACATAGATGAGGTCTGGATGAGAGTCCTTCAAGAAGCTGGAGAACTACTCCTCAAGAAATTGCAAGAAATTTTGGCTAAGAGAGTTCAGGCTGTGTTGAAGAACAAAGATGTTCATACCAAAGTATGAACATCTTTGTTCTTCAACTTACTGACATTCAATTCGATGGAGTTGTACAAACACTGTTTCTGCCTTTTATCTTGTATTTCCATATGTGTTTACAGATGTTTCAATAAATTGCTGTGCCTGCTTCCCATTTTCATAATTTTCACAGCTTAAGGGAAAACTTTACAGGGAAAACTTTTCAAGGTTGATGATTTAGAGTTGAAAATGCAGACGTTGATAATTATTCTTCATTTGCTCACAACAAATTAAATATTGTAAATAAAGATTTTCTATTTGAATATTTCATTCATCAAGATTTTATTCTTTTTGAGCAGTGTATACAATAGTAAGATTACCATGTGTCAGTACAGAGGAATAATGTCCAATTTTGACTAATGTCCAATTTTAATTAATGGTAATAAAATAAGTCCAATTATGTGAAACGATTACTTTTACATTTTCACAAAATTTATTTTCACAAAATAAATGAATGAAGATGAAAACCCAAGCGTAATATTTGCACTTTTGTGCTCTAAAGATCAGTATTAATGATACAAAACTGGGTACACAATGAATTTTAACTCAAGGCCCATCATATTATGTTTAAATCAAAAAGCTTGACTTGATTTCTCAGTCAGTGTTGGTGTGGAATCCTGTACATGAAACTACAGTGACTGATCTAAACACTTGTACCTCTGTAATTCAGACACTAGGGGGCGACAGTGGCAACATTCTGTGTCTTCAGCACGTCGATTTGAACAACGGTGCATTCAGGGATCCCTTCAATATTTGTACATATCAGCTCACCTTTTATTTAGATTTGGTTAACCTCGTATGCTGTTCCTTTACTTTCTGCATCTCAGAAAAAGAATTTTGGCTGACCACGAAGAGGACTTTTATGGTATATTATGTTACAATGATACTTAATGAACAAACGAGCACAGGTGCACTTCTGATATCTTTAATGACTGATTATTACCTTATCCTGTAATTCGCAATGCAGTTTTATATACGATGAGAAAATGTTTTATCTTGTATTTTGTTTTTATAATTTTTGTCCAAATACAGTCTCTTAAGTAAACATTTTTAGTCGCTAAAATCAGTGAAAGTATATAATTACCGACTCTTGTCATGGTCAATGAACAGAGCGTGACGTTCACCTGTTAGTGTGAACTGTGCAGCTGTCACATTTGAGTGTGCAGGCACCTAGCAAACGACACGTACTCCCATTTTTAAAAGGTAAGGGCTCTTATCTCTGTAAACATTTATTCGCTATAATATAAGAGTATATAGCTTGTCTGTAAGAATGCTACTCCCGGCGAGCAGTGAAATCTTCATATGGTTAAACCGGTCGGCGAAGCTAACACGAATAGCACGTACAGTGTAAACGCTACCAACTGTCAGCTAGCAGCTGGATTAGTGAAGACAAAGTGACGTTAACTTGCAAATTGTGTTGTAAAACAGAGGAGAGCAGCAGACAAACGACGAAACCTCAAAAAGCAGTAAGAGCTGAGTAAATATATCACCGACATTAGCCATTTTTAATGACTAACTAACAGGAACCAGTGGAGCTACTTAGTTTTTAAAGAGCAGCTTGTTTAAAAAAAAATAAATGGCGTTAACGTGGTTTTACAACACTTCACAACATTGCTGACCAACAGAGGGCTATTTATGGAAGCGTCTAGTGAGCAAGGCCACATTACCAAGTCCCTGGACCCCCACAGTGCAGTCTGTCAGTCACAGTGTGTGTGTGTGTGTGTGTGTGGGGGGGGGTATTTCTGCCCCCTAAAAGCAATCTAAATGATAAAATCTGTTGCTTTTTTTTGTGGCCCAGCATTGTGTTGTTGTTCAGCAGAACCTTATTTTTGGTCTATGGGTTAAAGGTGACACACACTCAGTGACTGTTTGTCCTGTAGTTATGAGCCTCGACAGACATCTTGGTTACATAACCAAACCTTTACTGGTATCCACCCAAACCGTTATCAAGCAAGGTTCTCACTCACTGACAATCTGATCTGCAGAGAACAGGCTAAACTAGTCAATTAAAGCTAAGATCAACATTTAAAAGCCTGTAAGAGCATGAGAAAACTTGTTCCTTTGGTTGTAAAGCTTGTAAAAATGCCAAAATGTAATTACCTTGTAGCATAAAGCTGACAAACCTGGTCCTGGTCCCCCAAAAAGGGGGAAAGTTACTTTCTCTTTGAAATGAGAAAATCACAATGGTAAGTGTTTGTAATGTTTAGTGCACTAATACTGTCAAACTTATTTTACATTGTGGGCCACATAAAGCTCGTGTTGATCTTAAGTGGGCCGAAGCAGTGAAATCAGTGTTTCTGTCAGCATAAAGAAGTTTAACTACTTACTATCTATAGTAGACCGTAAAAATGTCATGTGATTGTTTATCTATAACTTAATTTGGTGTAATATGACCATTAGGGTGATGTTTATCAGTGAAGGTAATGCTGTAAAACTGAAACTTAAAATACAGTTAAAAGTCCAAAATTTATGCCATACTTCACATTTTCCAAAGCCATTCAGTGGGCTCGTTTGAGTCTGTGCCAGGCCTCTTTTGACCCCCAGGCCTTATGTTTGACACTGCTGCATTAAACCCTAAACTGCATTTAAGGAAGTCCTTGCACTGTCCTTGATTGATCACTGTTTTCTAATTGTTTATGAGCAAACATGGTATTATTAAGCTGCTCCTTACACACAAAAATAACCGTAATTAGTTGTTTACTTACTGATTGCTCATGCATAAGTATTCTGTCCTTACATCTTCCTCTCTCTGCATTCCCAGCATGGCACGAGGGCATCAGAAGATTCAGTCCCAGCAGAAAAACGCCAAGAAGCAGGCGGAGATGAAGAAGGCTAAAGGTCACGATCAAAAGACGGCGGCCAAGGCAGCGCTCGTATTCACCTGCGCTGTGTGCAGAGTAAGTATGACCCCTCAGAACTCCCAAATGAGGGTGGGAGTCATATTTGAAACCAAATGCAGTGCCTTTTCCTCCAAATCCTCCTTTCCTTTAACAACTGTTGGATGTTTCATTTCTTCTCACAGTCTCAGATGCCGGACCCCAAAACCTTCAAGCAGCACTTTGAGAGCAAACACCCAAAATCCCCTCTGCCCCCTGAGTTAGAGGGAGTGGAGGCGTAGGTGGTCGTCGACATGGATACTAAACTCTTCAACCCTGTGCCGGCTCTGCTCTCGTCTCAGTCTGACAGCAACGGATGATTTCACGTGACCAACATGAAGCACTTGTCTATTAATTCTTTAACAGGCCGGGTCGAGTCCGGTGTGCTCGTCTTCGAATACATGTCACAGCAGACCTGTACGACCTGTGAACGATGAAAAGTTGTAAAAGGAGATGGCTTCTTATTCAGCTTCCCTGAACAAACTGGCGTATTGGAGTATTTCTTGCTGCCCGCTCTTGTCTCTTTACGCTTTAGCTTTGGTGGATTGATCGCTCGAGATAAATGCACAGTGTTTGCTGAAGTTACAGCGGTGACAAAACTGACCTCGTCTTCTTAATTAGTGCTTTGAGCGCTGAATGGAAACTGGGACTGTGAATCTTTATCCATAAGTGCTCAGAGCGTAAATCGTCCTCGGTCGTGTCTGCCTGGTTATTACTGCATATTCTCATTTTAATTCATCATAATTTCGTAATTGTTTCAGTAAAAAAAAAGTGACATTTTGATAGCCATTTCCAAGCTGCTGGATGAATTGTAAACCAATGAATGTATGCTCCAATGATGAATTGTTAAGTCATTTTATTAAAGGTTCACTTTGTTGTAGCTCTGCTTTGTGTGATAATGTTTTCTGGCAAGGATGAATTTCACTGATACATTATGTGTTTAAGCAGGTAATGTTATCACAAACAGTCCCTGTGTTCCTTCACTCTGCTTGTGTGTCGGTTGTTTAATTTTGTGCCGAGTAATTTATTGTCTTCCTTCCAAAGTCTCTTTTTTACTTTCTCCTGCCTTCTAAACCTGACTGTTTCTTTTCTTATTACTCAGCGAGGCTGCATGTGAGAACCTGTTTGCCCTTCGGGATTAATGGTCTTTGACTCAGAATCTGGGCAGAGCAGAACAAAGTCTGTGCGATGTCCGATTGTGAGACTAGCTTGGGCAATTACCGTGGATTTACAGCGAGCGAGTGGGCGTCCAGCTCCACTCTTTCCAGGCACCGCCTTTTCTTAAACCAAACTGAGTATTCCCAATAGTGAGATGGGATTATCTACTGTTTTGGGCTATAAGTGAGGAAAGGACAACCTTGAACAAGTCCAGGCGTGAGCCTCGATTCCATTCCTGAAAACGGCTTTAAAGTGGATCTCTGGAGATCATTTCCAGTGCCATGTTTTTATTTTTTGCACTCTGCTAGATTCAGTTCAAATTCTTTCTTATGCATCTTATATTGAGCCTCTGTACAGCTCAGTGCATCCTGTGTAAAACAAGCTCTGTGCGCTCCTTCAACTTTAATCTGACTTTCTCTGATTTGCTGCTTCTCATGTCTTAGTCATTTAGACATGGTTAAGATAACTTGCTGAAGTTCAAACTGAGCATCAGAATGGGGAGAAAATGTGATTTAACCGGTTTATGGTGATTGGTATTAGACGGGCTACTCTTGAGTATTTCAGAAACTGCTGATCTACTGGGATTTTCCCACATTTCCTCTTTTTGACAGATGGCTATGTCCAGTGAAATGTCTCTGTGTGAAATCCGCTTTTTGATGTCACAGTTCAGAGGAGAATGGCCAGACTGCTTCAAGCTAATAGGAAGGCAACAGCAACTCAAGTAACCATTCACTATAATAAAGACATGCAAAAGAGCATCTCTGAATGCAAACATTGAGCCTAAAAGCAGATGAGCTACAGCAGCAGAAGACCACACAGGGCGCCGCTCCTGTCAGGTAGGAATAGGAAACTGAGGCTACAATTCACACAAGCTCACCAAAACTGGAAGAAGACTGGGCAATCGTTCGGTCTCAAATTCCTTTGTGACATTAGGATGGTAGAATCAGAACTTGGTGTCAATAATGTGAAGGTATAGACCTATCATGCCTTGTATCAATAGTTCAGGCTGCATATGGTTTAAACCCCACAGCCTACCTGAGTATTATGGCTCCCTTTATAACCAGTGTACCCATCTGATACGTGATTATATCATATCACAAAGCTCAAATAATGTCAAACTTTTGTTGAACATCACAATAAGATCAGTGTACTCAAATGGCTTCCATAGTCACCAGATTTCAAACCAATAGAGCATTGTTGGGATGCTCTATTAACAAATCTGCAGTAACTGTGATGCTATCATGTCAGCATTGACATTAATCTCTGAGGAATATTTCCAGCACCTTTTTTAATTCTGTGATACCTCTTTAACCATCAGGTGTACCTAATAAAATAGCCAGTGAGTGTACAGTGATCACTGATCACGTCATTTTCTCTGTGCTGTTAGTTACATAGTAACTGTCGAGCAAAACAGATGAAAACAGGCTGGATAAATAAATACTGGTAGTTACACAGTTATTACATTTTTAGTCTCGTGACTGTAAGGCTGTCTTTTTTACTTCAGTTCATTGCATGACAGCATACCGTGCTTGGATAATGACCACTGGTTTTACACTCCTTTTTGTGAGGCAGTGTGGGACGCTTTGGGTGTGCTGCATAGGCTGAGTGAGTAATACCGGACACACCCCGGGAGTAGAATAAAATGTGTGAAGCCTGAGTTTTTGGCTTACGGCTTACTCACATGTAGGCTGGCCCGGTTTATTATAAGCATCCACCACTTTAATAGTATTTACTGTGCGACAGAAAATGAGGAAAATCATAAAACTTTTATGTAAATGAATGTCATTTATGTGTCATCAGCTCTCACCCACCAAGAACTGAATGTATCTGGATACAGAGCTTTAACTGTAGGGATGGCAGGATGACTCACAGAGAGTAACTGGCAGCTGACATGAACATCATCCCAGGAGGTTCTGACATTTTTAACTGAATAAATTAATCTCCTCTCCCAGCTACACAGAGCTTTACTCACCAGTTTAAACACAAATATGTACAGGAAGTGACAGAATCGGTACCAAATATCAAAAACAAGTTCAAATTGTGCATCTGTTACCTTGGATCAGCTGAAATGGCTCAATGTGCAGCAGTTAACAATCAAAAACCTCTAAACCATTATGCAACTCGGTCTGCATAAAGAGGTCTTTAACATGTCCAGTAATGACAAACGCTTCACTTCAGCTGAAACACAATAACTGCAAGAATATAGTGTGTAAGCCAACCATGCAGACATGGCTACAACCACACCATTGCACTTCATGTGTGAAGTCACTCAAACCATAAAGACCACACCATCTGTCTTCTTTGTCATAATTAAATCATTTAGGGGGAAATGTGGCTTGACTTCCTTTAATTCTGACTACTCAGAAGTAACAAACACACACACACACACACACCACGGTCAGTGAGACGCTGCCTGTTGTTTTAGTTGTTTGAGCAGCTCGGCCAAATGACTCACAACCCACATTGTTCCCCAGCCTCCTCACACATAATCCACATCCTGCCTTCCCATCTGTAAACTTGTGAATCAAAAACACAACACATGTTCATTCATATAAACACATACACATATGTAAGATTTTTTTTTCTACAGCCTGTCTTTGATCTCAACATGCAAGAGTCACAGGAAAAAAATGAGAGCACTCGTACAAACTCGTTACAACTTAATTAGGTTAAGAATTTCCCTGTGGCTATAGATCATCTATTTTCAGCTCTCATCGCACTAGTGAGAAAGAAACACTGAAGCACCAGCTCAACTCCAGTGTCTGGGCATCGTGGCACCTGCTGTGTTGTTTCGGTGTTTCTGTGGAACAATATTTTCATTCATTTAGTTTATGTGTGGTGTAATAATAGCTAGTGATCAACATGAGGTTGGGAATATTTATTTGTATTTGTCAAACACTGCTTATCTACCTTACTCTAGTTCTGCTTGGCCACTGATTAGCACACCTCTAATTCTAAAACTTCTGTGCATGATTTATGTCTCTAAGAAAGTACTGCAGGGTCTGATTGGTGTCTTCGTCCATCCCCAACCCTGATAACAGACTTGCTTGGATCGCTGCTACTTTCAACCAGTTTTACAAGGTCAGGGGAAGTGATCCATCACAATAGACCTAAACCTGAAATTTGTAAAACTAGAATAACTAGAAAAACATGACTGATGTCTGGACTACTCAATGGGTCAAGGCATTTGAATGAAGAAGCCTTTCTACTGAGAAGAGCCACAGTACCTCAGTATTTATATAGGCATTAGATAAAACAGTTTCAGTATACATAATATTAGCCTGACACCAACATAATTTTGCATAATTTCCTCATTTTATCAGTTCCTCTCTATACATGTTAGACCACTCCTTGTAGAAAGCTCTGATGGGTATAGTTTTACATGATAAAGGTGTACAAAGACACCGCTATTTGTAGCTTTTTCTGGATTAAAAAAAAATTAAATGCCATTTTGCGATTTTAGTGTTTGTTTCTAAAAGTAATGACATATATAGAGAGCACACGTTATCATAATCGTTTTTATCACGTTTTCAGTCTCAGTAAAAATGCGTATTCTTTGTGGGCAGGTGTGCACAGCTAACACAAACGGCCGTAAAGGCAGAGTACATAGCGCTGCAGAACTGTACCCCCCAGCATGTTTACACTGAGTAGGAGATGCTGTGTATCTCATTGTACAACTGTATAGTGACAATAAAGGCATTCTATTCAATTAAACGGCAAATTATGAGAGTGAAACTGAAATTACATTAATATCTAAGCCACGGGCCAATAATATGCTCGTTTGAAAATATAATAAGGTAGACAAAACCACTTTATGTCAATCCTGCCCCACTTCCGGGTTCCTCCTCCTGGCTTCTATCTTCTTGCATAATGACCTTTCACACACACAAACACACACACACTCACAAAGGATTTATTTTTTTTAAAACACAAACGTTTTTCCTTCCAGTGTCTTGATAGATATAAGTATGGTAGATATAAGTATAAATTCTCCTGAAAAGTTTCATTTGATTTATAATAACTATAAACTACATCTCCCAAGCATCCTTGCGGGCGTACCGGACAAACCAAGCGTTTATGCCGTTTGTACGTAAATATAAAAAAAAAAATTAAATCTATATTTAGAAGATTTTTTACATAATATTTTACATTATCATAATCATATTTTTGTTAATTTTCTGTGAGATTCGTTTATTTGTTTTTTGCTCATTCGGCGCAGTCTTAAAAAAAATTGCCCTTAGATTTGGCTACCATAGCAACTCCCTTCTTACGTCACCCATCCGGGCTCGACCCTGCTGCCGTGTCTTTGATTGGAGGGAAACCCCGTGGATGAGCGGGAGAGATCATCAGCTGTGCGGCCGGGAATCAGGAACAACACCGTCTAACGACACTCGCAGGTTAGTTACATCTATTTACTGCTCTTGCTCGGTGGTGTTTTTATCCAAAGAGTCCCTGCTTGTGCTTCTGGTAAGGTATCTTTTTAAACCCTGCATTAATCGCCGCATCTAGCGGCTGTAAGTGGAAATCGTTGATGCTCCGCGCTGCTCAGTCATTGTTCGGTGCTCGCCTGACAGGGAAGCGTTACTTACGGCAACGTTAACCCATCTATTTTTGTTCGCTCGCTGTTTTTAGAGGACGCCTCTCGTCCCTGCTAAGCGGCATTTTTTTTGTGAATGAAGCAGTCTAAAATGTGAGAATAACTGTGGCTAGAAGAAGCGGTCT